CTCCTCGGTTGCCGCGTCATCCTTATCGGCGAAGGCTGCGCGCGACAGGAAAGCGCCAATTACAGCAGCACCACACTCTTCAAGTTCAATGAGAACTAAGTCTAAGTCTAAGTGTAGGTCAGTCATGGACAGAACAGAGATCTCAGAGTTCCTGTAGAAGCAACTACCACGCCGTTGTGGGAAGAAACAAGCAGCTGACCACCCAACACCACAAACAGTGGTGACCTCAGGACATCTGAGCCCAACTCTACACAGACTCCAGAATGTCATCATTTTTCTCGTAACCACAAAGTATCTGTACCAAAGGTCTATTGGGGGGTAGGAATGGGAGTAGAACACAGGGACTTCCTTCTACAACTTTTTGGTAATTCTACTGCCATCTACCCCACAAACCTGCCCTCAGACCACAAACCTGCCCTGAGACCCACTCACCTGTACAGGCTCCTCCAAGACTCCACTGCAAATAGGGCAGATAAGGTCCTCGTCAACATCCCCCTGGAAACGGGTTACATCATACCCCATGTCTCATCACTGAAACCCAGGTCCTGAAACAAGTTGTAGGAAAAAGAGATCACTTCACAAAAAGCCACATCTATGTGCTCAAACCATGGGCTTACTGTCAAAATCCATTCATTTCTCTAACAGATATTCACTGAGAACCTAGTTATATGAGGAATAAATCTAGGCAGAAACAGACATTACATAAGCACACATATAAATTACAATATAAGTTTCAATAGAGGTTTATAAGGAGAGGACTCCTAACCCAGGCTGAAAGAAGGGGTGGTTCTGATAAGTTTCCCAGAAACGTGTCCTGTGGGACAGAAGAGCTAGCTATGTGGAGGACTGGGACAGAGCATAAGGCCCAGACAGGCTCAGAAAAAAGCTGGCCTGAAGGATACAAACAACTGTTAAGACCCAAGTCTGAACAGGCAAGCAATGACCAGACCATCAAGAGTCCTATGTGGTATTTGGACTTGTCACTGACACCATCTCTCCTTTAAGATCACTATGTTGCTGGGGATACAGCTCAGTGGTAGAAAGCCTGTCAGTATGAGTCCCCGGGTTCAACCTTCAGAATCAAAAACAAATGAACAAACTCAAAACTCGGTGTTGTGATGCATACCTTTGATCCCAGCTCTGAGAAGGCAGACAGGTTCAAGGCCAGCCTGGTCTATATAGTGACTTGCAGGATAGCCAGGGCTATATAGTCAGATCCTGTCTCAAACAAAAATAGAAATAGAGCAACCTAATAAAATCTCCCCCTGTGTCAACAGGGGAGAGCTTGGAGACAAGAACTCTAACCCAAAACTGTAGGCAGGAGACAAATGGTAAGAATCTGAACTAAGTGGTTGTGAGGAGGAGACAGAGATTCAGGAGAACAAGGGCCAGAAGACAGCACTGCTGCTGTGCCCTGTCTTTGAATTGCCATAGATCAAACCCAAAGAAGTCAGTGAACCATGTCTAAGACCTCTCTGTATTCATTCAACTGGTGGGCTAATTGATCAAGAGTACCTGTTATAGGTACAGCCAATCCATTAACCCGTGACATTCTTGAAGACTGATAGTTAGCTCTCAGGGATTTAGAATCAGACCATCCAGTTGTATTTTTCTTAGTAATTTATTATTAATGTGTGTAGGATGGGGTTATGTATGTCACAGTAGGTACATGGAGGTCTATAGTGGTTTGAATGAGCAATGTGACCCATAGCTTCAGGCATTTGAACACATAGTACACAGTTGGTAATCTCTGGGGATGTTATAGTCCCACCCTGTTTCCTACTGTTTTCTCCCCATGCCCATTTTCTCTGAGTGAGGATGAATCCAGCCACCTGCCTGCTCCTACTCCTAAACATTATGGACTCTAGCAACAAAAAAATAACTGGACAGTTATGCTTCGGTAGTTTACATGCTCCTGAAGCTTTTGGTTTTTTTTAATATTTATTTATTTTAGGTAAATGAGTTCTCTATCTGCATGTGTGCCTTCATGCCAGAAGAGGGCATCAGATCCCTCTATAGATGGTTATGAGCCACCATGTGGTTGCTGGGAATTGAACTCAGGATCTTTGGAAGAACAGACAGTGTTCTTAACTGATGAGTCATCTCTCCAGCCCCCAACTCCTGAAATATTGAAAAGTTTATATATAAGCAAAAGTCACATCTCGGCATTACCTAGGAGTCTGTAAGGGAAGAATGAAGTCAGCAGTGTGGTGCAAGGCACTGCGCTGCATACCTGCAATCTCAGCACTCAGAAGATACAGGCACGGGGATCTCAAGCTGGAGGTCAGCCGGCTCCAGAGCTCCACGCTACACAGTAAGACTCTATCTCAAAAAACAAAACAAACAAAAAACCAAATCAAGAAGCTGGAGAAATGGTTTAGAAGAATCCCTAGGGCTTGCTGGACAGCCAACCCAGCCAAAACAATGAGCTTCAAGTCTCAAAACATGAGGGAACCGGGGACAACACTGAACACTGTCCTCTGGTCTCCAAACACATGCTCAAATGCATGTGCACACAGTCAAGGTTCATGTGTCTGTTGGGTACATGTGTGCCTGGTCTTTCTTTCCTTCCTTCCTCTTTTTCCTTGTTTTGGTTTTTTGGAGTAAGGGTTTCTCTGTGTAGCCCTGGCTGTCCTGGAATTTACTACCTAGACCAGGCTAGCCTCAAACTCAGAGATTCACCAGCCTCTGCCTCTGGATTAAAGGTGTGCACCACCACCACATGTGTGCCTGTTCAATCCTCAGCATCACAAAAATAAACAAACAAATGATCAAAAACGTAACAGTTTAGTAAAACAACCTTTCTAGGTGCAGGCTGCAGGTATACTCAGTGGTAGACTGCTTGCCCAGAATGTATAAAGCCGTGGACTCAACCCCTGGTACCACAAAAATAAAAATGAAAACTCTTTCTAGCTAGTGTAGGAAGAAAAGCCTTTATTCCTAGCACTAGACAGGCTTGATGGAGGTGGCTTGCCATCCTGAGCTACATAGTAAGCTCTAGTCTACCCTAGGCTAGACCCCATCTCAAAAAAGACATCCTCTCCCTTTCTAACCTACAGCACACAAGCTTGGTAACATCTCCTGAGCGCCACCTACACATCAAGAAGTCTGGTAAATCCTACCTTCTCTGAAGTCACTGATGGAGTTAACACAGGAAAATGGATGCCGGAGAGAAACATCCTACACAGCAATATTAACCCTAACCAAGACTGAAATAGGTCCCAGGATTATGGGGTATATGACCATGTTGTCTTTGGAGGACTAGGACTTTGGAATTTTGGGCTAGAAAAGCCATCGAGTGTTCAAAGCTTGGTGAAGTGCTCTACCAAAGCTTGGAGAATATGAGTGATGAGAGAAACACAGATGACAGAGGCTTGTCTTGTTAAGTTCCAGAGAGAAGTCTGGGAGTCACTTAGACTCTATCAGGGCCATTGCATACTTTGAGTTTAGAATCTGTGGTCAGCTGGGGCTGTGATTAACAAGAGGCCAGAACCACTAAAGTAAAGCCTTTACTTTACCGAACAATTGATGCTGCTTATCTGGAGCTGAGAATCAGCAATGATTAAGAAGAGACCAGCATCACTGAGGTTAGAGAGATCAGGCTGCCCTTGAACTTACAGAAATTCACTTGCTTCCGTCTCTTAAGTGCTGGGATCAAAGGTATGCGTCACCATGCCCAAATATTAAATCTCCCTGCACAAATAGGTGAAGCACACACATTCATTCTCACATGCATGCACACATGCTAAGAGATGCATCACACCAGCCATTTAAATCATGGTTTATATTTTGAGGGAAATGGACATGCTGCCACCATTCCTGACAAGTGGATAAGGGAAAGTCAGGGGTAAGTGTTGTGGTCTCTCTCCTCTACACCCTCCATCCAAGCCAGGCTCAATTACTACAAAAAGATCAAATAGGCAAATGGCTCTAAAACCTGCCTCCACCTAAGGAGACAGACAGCTCAAAGCCAAATAAGTATATGAGCATTCTGTCTTCATGAATACCAGAAGAGGGAATGGATCCCATTATAAATAGTTATGAGTCACCATGCAGATGCTGGAAATTGAACTCTGGACCTATGGAAGAGAAGTCAAATGCTCTTAACCGCTGAGCCATCTCTCCAGCCTCAAAGCCAAACTCTTGTGCTTACCCACCAAAACTCTTAAAATAAGGCTAGCGAGATGGCTCAGCACATTAGAGATGCTTGCTGTACAATCCTGGAGATCTGGGGCCCACACAATGGAGGAAAGGGAGAGGCAACCCCACAAGGTTGTCCTGACTGACACACATGCACCCAGGCACAGCCCACCACATCATGCACACACATGCTAACAAAATAAAAATTAAAACAATTCTGAGTTTGAGCCTTAGCTCTAATGCTGTCCCTGACCAAATGTGCTCTCTGGGCTGGGGCTTCTCACACTGTGAGACATGAACATCCTGGCTATGTAATTTGCAAAGGGCTCTACAATTTCTCTGATCCTATGATAGAGAATATAAAACAGATATTAAGCAGCAGTTATACTTACAGAGGTACCTAGCTCTCCTCCAGACAAGCCTCCAGCAACTCTCCTGAAAGTGCTTTTTTTTCTCTTTTGACAGGAAAATCCCTAAACTGAAACTTCTCCTAAAACTGTTTCCTCCCTTATAAGATGGAGGAGTAGGGCCACCTGAGTTCTAAGTTCTGTTTAGCCCTAGAATGCTAGAATCTCTATTAACCAGGATATTTATTTATCTAGCTGTTCTTTTTTCATGCTGGTTTTTTTTTTTTTTTTTTTTTGTTTCCTTTTCAGATAGGGCCTCACTATGTAGGCTTTGCTAGCCTCTCTGTATAGTCCAGGCTGGCCTTGAACTCACATCCACTTGCCTCTGCCTCCAAAATGCTGAAATTAAAGATGTGTGTCATTATACCTGGCTCAGAGGATCTTTAAGGTTGAGTTTCTTTATATATATATATATATATATATATATTTTTTAAATATTTTATTTATTTTATGTGCATTAGTGTGAAGGTGTCAGATCTCTTGGAATGGGCATTACAGACAGATGTGAGCTGCCATGTGGGTGCTGAGAATTGAACCCCAGTCCTTTAGGAAGAGCAGACAGCGCTCTTAACCACTGAGCCATCTCTCCAGCCCCCAAGTTTCTTTAGTATATTTAATTTGAAATTTTTTCTTTTGTATGTGTGAGTGATGTATGGGCATTTGTGTGCTGGTGACACTCTGGAACGCACCAGTCTTTAAGCCCCAATGCTTGTTTTACATGGTTGATGAAGATCTGAACTCAGGTCCTCTTGCTTTCAAAGCAGAGCCTTATGCACCGAACCATCTTTTCGGCTCCAATTTAAAATTCCTGAAGAACAATTCAGAGGACCTACAGTTCTTTAAAAAGCCATCTAATGCCAGGCAGTGAGTGCTACCACCTTTACCTACTCCTTTAATCTCAGCACTCGGAAAGCAGAAGTAGGCGGAGCTCTGAATTGGAGGCCAACCTGGTCTACAGAGTTAGTTCCAGGACAGCCAAGGGCTACATAGAGAAACCCTGTCTTCAAAAACAAACAACTCATCTAATGCCTGATATAAGGCCAGCTAAACTTCAAAGGGCAGCAGGGACTCCCAGTTCCACCAGCACTATTTGTGTGATTAACCCAAATCTCTTTATCCTAAATATATAATCTTCTTGTCAACAGAGACTTGTAGAAGAAAAGAGTAAATGCAATCAATGTCTTCAAGCTAAGGCACACGTATAGTCCAGTGACTGTACAAGATTAAAAAAAGAAGCTAGGCAGTAGTGGGGCACACCTTTAACCCCAGCACCTGGGAGACAGAAGCAGGCAGATCTCTGTGAGTTTGAGGCCAGCCTGGTCTACAGAGTGAGTTCTAGGACAGTCAGGGCTCTGTTACACAGAGAAACTCTGTCTCGAAAAAAAAAAAAAAGAAAAAAAACATAAAACTTACTATCAACAAGATAGAAACATAAACAGGACAGCATGCATTAAATGTAGAAAGGTTCAAGGTACCAGGTGTTCAAGGTCAGAAGGAACCTTGACAAGAGAAGAGGAAAGTCCAAAAGGAGATTTCCAAATGGGGCTCTTTACCTTCTAAGTGGTGGGGGCAGGGTCCCTGTTTAAAAGGTTCCAGCCCCCTGATGCCTCCACTCAGTGCCACACAGGAGATGCTCCAAGTACCCCATCTTGTTGGTTATTCTCCAATTGAGTCTTTTTTCCTAGTGACATGTTTCATGCCAAGGGAACGGTGTGATGTCACAATCAGGAGCATTCTATTAACAGGAACAAGGAAGAAAAAAGTAAGTCAGGGCAACTACCTCCATTTAGCAGTGACAGTGGACAGACTTGGAACCGTGGGTGGGGCATCCAGGTAGAGAGGATGGGAATTTTTTTCAGGACCACAGGTTTCTTCACTATCCTACAAACTGGAGGGGCATTCTGTCTAGTAGAGTCAGACACAGCTGAGGAGGGGAGGGAAAAGCAAAGGTGGAGAACAGACCTACTGGAGACAAGATTTGTTAGCAAATATATAAAAAGGAAAAAGGAGAGCTGAGGCTTAGCTCAGTGGTCCAGTGCTTGCCCAGCAGCCACAAAGTCCTGAATTTAATCCTAGCAGCAGTGTATACTAGGAGGGAAGGGATATATGCCTACAATCTTAGTACCCAAGAGACATCGGCAAGAGGGCCAAAGTTCAAAGCCAGCCTGGAGTACATAGGATTCTGTTTCAAAAAACAAAATGTTAGACGAGTCCTCCCCTATCAGTGGCCTTGGGGAGGGGCATTCGTGAAGAAGGGGGAAGGTGGGAATAGGAGGGGAGGAGGGAGGGGCTTATGGGGAGATACAAAGTAAATAAAGTGTAATTAATAAAAGTTAAATTAAAAAAAAACCCACAAAATGTGTGTGCTATAAATACACACATTAATTTTTCAAATTATTTTGACCTCATACATATGGCTGTACAGCCTGCATACATGTCTGTGTACCACATTTGTGCCTAGTGCCAGAGGAGGCCTGAGTGGATTCCCTGCTACTGGAGTTACAGGTAGTTGTGAACTGCCTGTGGATGTTTGGAATCGAATCCCGATTGCCTGAAAGGGCAGTCAATGGTCTTAACCACTCAGCCATCTTTCTAGCCCCTGTATATATATATATATATTTCTTTATTCAGCACATATAACTATGAGCAATGTCGAAAATTCCAAAGTGGTGCTCCACAATATATGAATCCATAATACTTTCCCTGTACTATCCTTTAATGTTTCCAAAGTGCTTTCAATTATATTATTTCATATGAAAAGAATTCTGAAGGCCAGGGCTGGTAGCCCCTGCCTGTAACCCCAGCACTTAGTAGGTGAAGTAGGAGAATTTTTAGTTCGAGGCCAGCTTGGGCTATGTAGCCAAGTTCCAAACCTTGTCTCAAACAAAAATAAAAACAAAACTGGGCTGGGGTGCAACTCAGCAATGGAACACTTACAAGGCACTGAGACCCAGTCCTTAGCACCATACATGATGGCGCATGCCTATAATGCTGGGACTTGAATCAGAAGAGTTTCAAGCCAGCCTGGACTACACAGAGACTCTGTGTTGATAAATCATTAAGAAAAATCTCAAACATCCAGTTCCACTTTCCACGTGGAAAACATTATTTCTCACACAGACACTCAAGAAAGTTGCTATAGATGCAAAGTGGGAAATACCTCTGAAGGGAATAAGGCTTTAAAAAAAGAGAGAAGAGGGGTGGGGGCTGAGAAAGCAGGCAGTACTCAGAAACAGAAAAACAAAATGTTAAGTATTGTAGCTCATCTGCAATCCCAACACCTGGGAGGCTAGACAGGGGGATCACTGTAGATTCAAGGCCGGCAGGGGCTACTGTGTGAAACTCTTAAAAAGGTGGTGGTGTTCCAAGGTGGGCAACTGGGTAGGTTAGAAAGCAGTAAAACTGGGCTGACTTGACTCATGCCTGCAGAAATGAAACTAAGACCAAATTCCAAGGCCCTGAGAGTCCAGAGTCAGTGATACACAGGGCAGCTAATCAAACTCCTTGCCTCACTGTCATATGCGAATGAATAGTTCAAGGGCTACCCTGGGATAAGTTAGCTTTGTGATAACTTTTATGCAGAATAAAAGGCTGGCTCACCGCCTGAATCTGGGACAGTTCTCACCAGTTTGTTGTGCTCATCACATACATGTACGGCATGAATTCTCGAACGGATGAGAGATGAAGGGACCTGGCATTCCTCTTCACTGTGGTCCAAAAGAGGAGTGACAGCTGATACTCCACCACACTACTTGACTCCCCCAATAACTCAGAATGCTTGCTTCCTTTGAACAACACCCTATTTCCCAACAATCTGCCACACACACCTGAACATCAAAAAAAGCTTCTAGGAGCAGGTACTAGTGGCTATGCTTGGTCTCCTAGGGACAAGTTTCAGACACAGAAACCAAAAAGCTTCCCATACTGAAAAAATTATCCTTTCAGAAAGTGGACCAGGTGTTGTGAGCCAAGCACAGAGTCAGGAGAGGAGAGAAAGGTCTGGGATTCCAGTCCTAGCTCTGGCACCCACCAATGTGACAACTTCAAACAAGCCATGTAACCTTTTTGCAGTTCTCAGTTTCTCCAACTGTCAAATTGAGAGGATGACACTTGCCTTATCTTACATATTGTCCTGCCAATCAAATGAGATAATAAATATGAAAGCATACTTAAGACTGTTACTAGTTGTAGCAACAGAATGGCAAAATGAATTCACAGGGAGAGCCGGTGGAAATGTTTGAAACTGCTTGTTCCTTCCCTTCAATTACTGGGAAGCAGGCCCTCCACAAGGTCCATGGCAACAAATCACAACACTATCGCACCCTCACCTTTCCTTGCACTATCCCATCCCATCTTTCTCGGGAGACGCTAGTAGCCAGCAACCCTGTTATTAGCTAAAACTATTGTAGAAGAAGTACTGCCAAGATTCTCACGGGTCAGTCTCCAAGAACAGTGGCCTTGGTAACCGCTCATTTGCTACCAGTTGAAGTTAGTTTGTTAATAGGAAAATTGAGCTGATCCAAAACACCCTCATCCTTCTTTCTCAGATCTCTCCCCTGACCCTATGCTCTCTACCCCCGCTGGGATGTGCTTTCCAGGGCATAAACTGAGTGGATGGATCCTTCGGGCGGGGCTGCAAATCATCCAGGGGCAATGTAAGAGGAATGTAAGAGTCCTCCACGGAGGGGTGGGAAGGGAGAGGAGCCGCGAAGGAATAAAAGAGAAAGACAAGGCTGCCAAACACAAGGCATGGGAAAGAAGCCAAGCTACGGCGCTTGGGCAGAGGTCTGGCTTCCGTGGTCCCTGCCAAGGATAGCCCCCGGAACGTTCCCTCCTCGCCTCCAGGACCGTCGTCAATCATTGCCATTTAAACCCCAGCCTGAGCGGTCTACTCCTCCCGGGTCCTTAGGCCGACTCAAGGCCACTCCCGCACTTCCCAAGGCTTCCTTACTCCAGGCACCTTCCCAAGCTTCAGAGCCCCCAGCTCATCTCCGGACTCCTCCCGGCGGGGCTCCCTTCCTCCATTTTCCTCCTCCGCCTTACCCTTCCTCTCGACCCCCCTCACCTTCGACCCTGGCGCCGATCCACGGGGACCTCGCCCCCTCCGCTCCTCTCCCCTCCCCTCCCTCACCCCCGCTTAGAAGCTCGCTCAGGCGCACTACGCACCGCCCTGACGCGGTCCGGGTTCTCCTGACGAGGGGGCCGTCTGGACCTGAGGCCTCCGTGGCCGGCCCTCAGCCTTTCCCCGTCGGGGAAGAGGAAGGGGAGGATGGGGAAGAGAGTGCCGACCACTCCTCGCTGTCTGGGCCTAAGCCTTTGCCACGCCCACTGCTGCTACGCAACCGGGCGGAAGCGCGTCATCAAGCTCCGCCTCTCTATTTAACTCGGCTGCGACCGGACGCTCCTAGCGGTTGGGCCTAAGTGAGTCCGGGGCTAGCTTGGCCTCCGCTTTGGGCCGGAAGTTAAGGGCAGATTCCAGCTGGGACTTTGTAGCCATTTGGGAGGGAGTACTCTATGCTGGTCAGATGTGACGATCTGGGGCGACCCTGGTGTCCCGCCCTGCAAAGTCACTCCGTGCTGGACGTTGCTCGTCTAGGCCTGATGCTAGAGCTGATGCAGCTCTGGGGCGAGATCGCCGCGGGGCAGCTGACCTGCAGTGTGACCTGCTGTCCTCCCAGCCCCTCATTTTCCAGAGCTGTGGTCAGAATCCTGGAGCCTCCCGATCTTGTGACGCACAGTCACAGGAATGGTTACTGCAGTTGACTTAGAAGGACGCAGGGTGGGGAGGGAGGGAGTGTTTCACCGCAAAGCTTTGATCTAGGGGTCCTCCTTCCCCCAACCACACACTCTTGCAGTATCCACGATGGCTCTTAAAAAAAAAAAAAAATCAGAGTGTCCTGAAATACTGAAGAGTTTGATTTCCTAAGGTTGCAACGCTGTGGGTGGGAGAGAACCTGGGCCCTGAGGAAAGTTGTGGAGCTTAAAGTGCTCTGTGATAGGTAAGCAGTTAAGGAAGATAAAGAATGCAATCAATCACATTACCTCTTAAGCTAATTTGGTGTCGAATAGTATTTGTTATAGACATTCTCTTTTTAAAAGGGCAATTCACATTAGTACGTATGCAACTGGTTTACTCAAAAGAATACAGAGCTTTGAGAACAATCTGACAAGGTTCTGGGTGCTTTCATGCTCGAGACTGAGATCCAGTGGAATAGGAACTGGACATGCCATGTGCACCAAATAAGACTTCCTCTCTGCCTTCCGCCCTTCGCCCCCACTCCCACCTCCGGTCATTCTTTTTGTTACCCTGGCTGCCCGGGAACTCGCTCTGTAAGGCAGACTGGCCTCGGACTCAGAGATCCGCCTGCCACTGCCTGTGCTGGGATTAAATGTGTGCATCACTACCGCTCGGCGAGACTTGCTTTCTGTGTCCTGGTTCAACTTCTTCCAGAAGGGGCTGGGTTTGCCTCTTGTCTGTCTACAGTGTAAATGCCACTTGTCCAAACCTGGGTCGAACTGTTTAGTGTATTAAAGATGAAGTCTCTCTGTGTGTAAATTCCTGCGACGTCGTAGACTTCGGATTTTTACCTATCTGCCCATTTTTAAGTATAAAATGGAATTATATGTTTAAGAATTACAGAGAAAGGAAGCGAAGAGGCAGGCTGGAATTCAAACTTTTGACAGGTCCGCTGCATTCCAAAGCCCTTGGACCTTTTTTCCATTGTGCCACTACTTAAAGAGAATTTAAAAAAAGAGAGAGAGAGAGAACTTGAAGTGCTTTCTCGGAGCGGAAGGAAAGATTGGTAGCTGGGGCGCCCCCTGGTGGTCCATCCATCTTTTCCCCTCCTGAACTAACCTTTTGCGGGGCTCCTTTAATACCTAAAACTGGTCTCTACGGCGGCCAGTTAATGTCAGGGCCTGATTGGACCGGGCGGCGACTGGAGGCGGGGCGTTCTGAGGGGCATCGCGGTTCCCATTGGCTGGAGGAGATCAGGGCACATTTCCGGGAATGTACGCGCTCCCGCGTTCCGCTCCGCAGCATCCGGCGGCGGCAGCCAGCCCCCTGGCTCCCCCTGCGGGCGGCTCGGTGGTGTGCACGGTCCGGCTCGCTGGCTGGGTGGGTGGTGGGTCGGGCGGGGGAGGGGACCGCCCGAGTTCTGGGTTGTGGGGATGAGGGGTCCCGAAGATCCGCCGCGTAGGAGTCTGTTCCCCGGCGCTGCGCCCGGCTCCCTGCACGTCTCCTTCAGCCTCCCCGCTTCGGAGCGTGAGACAGAGCATCCTGACAGGGGCCTGCCAGCCCCTGAGCATCTTATCCAGAGAGTTCTAACTCCTGATTTTGAAGTACGAGGCCCCCAGGGAAGTTCGTCTTCTAGAAGGGTTAGCGAGGGGCCGAGGCCGTCAGATCCCCCGCCTGGTGTGCTGGGTAGGCCAGGCGGGAGCATGGGGGCAGAGGATCCCAGCCTTCAGCCTTCATCTCCCGTTTCCGCTTCCAGCGGGGTGCCACGGCTCGGGAAGCATGTCGACTGAGACCTTCGTGAAGGATATCAAGCCCGGGCTCAAGAATTTGAACCTTATCTTCATTGTACTGGAGACAGGTGGCTATTCGTGCGCAGTGGACTCTCGGGAGAGAAAGGGGAGGAGTGTGGCGAGTGGGGGGCACACGGGACCACCGCCTGCGTTCTTAACTTGTTGCCTGAACGAGGAGGAGGCTCCCCAAGGCCCTGCCTCACCCCACTCTCTCTTAGACCGCTGGCGCGGGGAGCTGCCTTCGGGTATAAAGTAGATAAAACTGCCTCACTAGCCACTCGGGCCTTTTATTCCTCCCACTCAGGGCTCTCTCCATGGTGCTGGACCCTCCACTAGCAGCCCACACACCCACGCACAACCTCCTGCCCTCATGGAGGGATATGGGCTTTGCTTCTACGCCTTTACCTCACTCAGCCAATACCCAGAGTCTTACTACCACCACCCTGGTATGGCTTTACTTCCACTCCCATGTTATTTCTTCCCTTAAAGGCCGAGTGACCAAGACAAAGGACGGGCACGAGGTTCGGACCTGTAAAGTGGCAGACAAAACGGGCAGCATCAATATCTCTGTGTGGGACGATGTAGGCAACCTAATCCAGCCCGGGGACATTATCCGACTCACCAAAGGGTAAGACAGGCTCCCAGCAGCAACAGCGGTAGGGTGTGGTTAAAACGCACTACAGCTGTGCTGAAGGCTGAGTCCTGCTTGCCCTCACTCCACCCCGCAGGTATGCTTCAGTGTTCAAAGGCTGTCTGACACTGTACACTGGTCGTGGGGGCGACCTTCAGAAGATCGGAGAGTAAGTTGTCTTGGGAACTGAGTTAAGCACCAGCAGCCCCAAGTGGGAAAGTTTACAAGGAAGCTACACAAGCCTGTGCAGTTCACGCCCTGTGACCCGACTTGTCTGTGGCCGGAAGGATGGGTCCAAGGCTTTGACTTTTTTCTTTGCAGATTCTGTATGGTTTATTCAGAAGTTCCTAATTTCAGCGAGCCCAATCCAGAGTATAATGCTCAGCAGGCACCCAACAAATCGGTGAGTCCGCGGGCCTGACAGTAGAGAAAAACCGCAGGTCAGGCCAAGCAGCATGGTCTGAGTATCTAACCTGTGCCTTCAGGTGCAGAATGACAGCAGCCCTACTGCCCCCCAAGCTGCCACAGGACCCCCTGCCACCTCTCCAGGTAGGAGAATCCATTTCTTTCCCTCTGCTCTCCCCATTAAGTTCCCCATTCTCCACAGCCTAGAAAGTTGTGTTTCCCATGTCCCTTTACAAGTGTCTGTTCTTTCAAGATGTTCCCTCTACCCAGTCCTTCCTGCACCTTCATTTTTATACCTTCTGCAAGTCTCCGTGGTTCCAACCACTGGCAGAGCTGGAGCACAAATGGAAGCAGTTTCTCCACATGGGGCAGATGACAGAGCAAACAGGGTTATGTGTACCATATTTAAAGTATCACTGTACATTCCTTGTAATAAGTCCATTTATATACACCTATATGTATATGTGTATGTGTGTGCTTATATATGTATGTTATATGTATGTATGTATATATCTATCTATCTATCTATATCTATATATCTATATCTATCTATCTATCTATCTATCTATCTATATATATATATATATATACACTCATAAATCACAAAGCAGGGGGCTGGAGAGATAAGCTCAGTGGTTAAGAGCACTGGCTGCTCTTCCAGAGGACCTAGGTTTGATCCCCAGCACCTACATGGCAGCTCACAACTGTCTGTAACTCCAGTTCCAGGGTTTCTGACACCCTCACACCAATGCACATGAAATAAAATTAAATAAATTATGTTTTTTTTAAGTAAAAAAAAAAAATCACTAAGTGATAAAAATATATTCTGAGAAATAGGTCCACACACACACATACACCCCTGAATTGTGGCTTACTTCATCCCCAAGTTATGTGGCATAACCTATGTTTTTCTTTTTAATTTCTTTTATTTTATTTTTTCTTTTGTTTCTTTCTCCCCCCCCCCCCCCCCAACCCAGCTTTCTTTTGTTTTGATACAGTGTCTCACTATGTAATCCAGGCTGGCCCCAAACTCACAGAGATCCTGCTTAGACTAGTTCTGGAATTAAAGGTATATGCTGGGCTGGAGAGGGCTCTGCTGTTAAGAGCACTGGCTGCTCTTTTAGAGTTCCTGAGTTCAATTCCCAGCACCTACACGGTGGCTCGCCACCATCTATAGTGATATCTGGTGCCTTCTTCTGGCCTACAGGTGTACATGCAGGCAGAAAACTATAAATAATAAATTTTTTTAAGGCATATGCTACAATTTTTAAAATAATTGTATGTTACCTAGTTCTTCACAGTTGTAGTCCCAGCCCTGGGGAGGAGACGAGGCAAAAGGATTGTCACAAATTCCTGTCTAGTCTAAGATTTAGAGCTAGACCTTGTCTCAGACAAATGACAAACCAACACCAAATTTTGATTGCTTCTTTTAAATAGAAAGACTATACTATTTAATAATAATAGCAAACATGTTCTAGCAGGGTATACTGGTACACATTCCAGTACTGGGAGGTAAAGACAGGAGAATCACTGTAAGTTTGAGGCCAGTCCGGTCTGCCTCCAGGCCATATACGTAGCCAAACCTTGTTTCAAAAAAACAAAAAGAAAGAATTGTAAATACTTAAGCTCATAATATACGACCACATGGCCATTTATTATAAATTGATATACTGTGCATAATTGTGTGCCATGCCTTTTTAAGGCTCACAGCTCTGTCAGCTGGTTTGCACAAACATCACCACAAACACATTAGTGTTGAATCTTACTACAACTGCAGTGGCTACAGTGTCACTAGACAATAGGAAGTTTCTTTATTTGTTGTAGTCATTTAAAAGTTTATTTTTTGAGATTTTATCTACTTTTACATAATATGTATGTTTCCTCTACATGTATGATTACCACATGTATACGGTGCTCTAGGAGGCTGGAAGAGGGTAGCAGATTCTCCAGAATTAGAGTTTCAGATGATTGTTACTGCAGTGTGGGTGCTGGGAGCCAAACCTGGGTTAGCTACAACAGCCAGCACTTTTAACCACTGAGCCACCACCCAAAGCCCTTTGTCTGCTGACTGAAACCACTGCAGGACCTGTGCCCATTGCTGGGCACATCCATAGCCACCAGCAGAGAGGGTGAATTCACTCTTGCTCACATGCTGGTTGGCTTGTGCTCATCCCAGTCTCTCCACTCTTAGAATGTGTCACCTGAGCTTGGCACAGCAGCAACACTGTTGATCTCAGCACTTAGGAATCATTGACAGAACTCTGTGAGTTCCAGGATAGTAAGGACTACTACATAGATAGACCCTGTCTCAAAACAAAACAAACAAACAAATAAAAAAATAGAATGAGCCACCCACAGTGGGCTGGGTTTTCCCACATAATTAAGATAATTATAGTTCCCAACAGACATGCCCACAAATGGAGACAACCCCTCACATATGATACATGACTACATATATCCTACAGGCTCTGGCTTTGTGGAGAACCTCCAATAAGACAGTCAAAATTGATACGAATTAATTCCACAATAGAAATTGGCGTGCGTTTTCAGATTTATGACTTAAGGGCTGGAGAGATGGTTTGGTGGCTAAGAGCAGCGGCTGCTCTTGTGGAGGACCTGGTTTGGTTCTCAGCACCCTCATGACAGCCTCATGACAATTATGCAACTCCATTCTAGGGGATCCAGGGCTCTTTGCCTCTTCAGGCAATTTAAAATGACTTGATGCTGGGTAGGATGCCTCATGCCTGTAATCCTCACACTTAGGCAGCTGAAGTGGAGGATCACTCCATGTTGGTGGCTAGCCTGAAGTATCAGGCCAGTCAGGGAGACCCTGCCTATGTACATACATACATACATGAAGAAAAAAGAGGGAAAAAAAAACAGAATAAAATAGGGTATTATTTTTATTTTTTATTATTTATTTTTTTAGAGAAATTCTCATGTAAGGCTGGCCTCAAACTTACTATGCAGCCAAATCTCTTCCTACCTCCACCTTTTAAATGCTGGACTATAGGTGTGTTACCATCATGCCTAACTACAAACATTTCTAATAAGGTACATTCAGGAGCCAGGCATAGCCACTGCCTAACGCTTGTGCAATAGAAGCAAGGAGAGACATTGCAAGTTCTGAGGACACTCTGTGCTCCACAGAGTGAGTTCCAGAGCAGCTTCATCTCCACAGCAAGGCCTTGTCTCAAAAAAGAAAAAAAAAAAAAAAAAAAGAAGGTACACCTGCTTGACATGGTGGCACACACCTTTAATCCCAGCACACAGGAGGCAGAGGCAGGCCGATCTCTTGAATTTGAGGCCAGCCTGGTCTACAAAGCAAATTCCAGAACAGCCAGGGTGGCACAGGGAAATCTTGTCTCAAAAACAAACAAACAAAGAATAAAAGAAAAGGTATACCTATACCTATGACCATAGGCTCCTAAAGTTCATTTGTCACATGTTTTTTTCACTTTGTTATCTACTAATAGAAATGAGAGATTTTTTTTTTGGTTTTTTTATTTGTATTATTTTTCTTTTTTTGGTTTGTAAATCTTTTTATTATGTATATCTTTTCTCCTTATTTATTTATTTATTCTGGGAGGAAGCATTCACGCTTGTGGCATGTGGCACAATTTGTGGGAGCCAGTTCTCCTTCCTCCCTGCAGACTCCGGGATTGAACTCAAAGTCATCAGGCTTAGCAGCAAGCCCTAACCTGGGAGACACCTTCAGCCCATGTGAGAGTGTTGTAGTGGTGATGGAGGCTTGTTTTAAGATAGGTCTCACGTAGCCAAGGTTGACCTCCAACAGCTAGGTTAAGACCTAGAACTCACGATCATCCTGCCAGTTCTCCAGTGCCACCGTGCCCTGTGTAATGTAAGGAGCAGCCCCAGGCTTTTGTGAGTGCAAGTTTCCCTGTTGTCTTAAGGTATCCTGACAGCCAGGGGTACCTTGAGGAAGGGTTACATGTAGCCCATCACTGCAGTGGACAGAGGACGAGCATGCACATCGTGTGCGTGGTCAGGAGCAGAGGCGATGCATCCATGCTCGCCTGCGCTGTGTGCCGGGCCTCCCCACATAGGTAATCACCATCCCCCATGGTGCACTCAGGCCACCAGCTTAAACCCTGGCTCTTCCCAGGGTCCTCTAGGCTGTGTCATGTTGACAGTTAAATGTAGCCATCACACAGGGCCAGCACTCTATTGTGATCCCAGTCCCTAGTTACAAAAGCTGTTTTGTTTTGGGGTTTTTTTTTTTTTTTTGTTTGTTTGTTTGTTTTGGAACAGGGCTTCTTTGTATAGCCCTGGCTATTTTGGAACTCACTCTGTGGACCAGGCTTGCCTCAAACTCAGAGCTCTACCTGCCTCTGCCTTCCCTTCCCCAGTGCTGGGATTAAAAGCATGTAGCACCGCTGCCGCACACAAAAGCTTAAGTTTTAAAAAATGATTTTTTTTTTTTTAATGTTTGGGTGTCTTGCTTATATGCATGTCTGTTCCCTACATACTTCCCTGGAAGCCATGAAACCAGGAGAGGGTGCTGGGTCCCATGGAACTATGCTATAGCTGCTGTGTGGATGCTGGGAACTGAACCTAGCAGTGCTCCCCAGTCCCCAAAAGTTGTTTGTTTGTTTAATTTATAGCATAAAATCTTAACATTGAGTTCCATATATTCACCTTTATCTGTCCTGAGGGAAGGACATTTCCCTTCATTTTGGGCTGCAGATGCTTTAGTTGAGCAGGGAACTAGTAACCTATAGTTCTATGTTGCTGACGGTTCATAGTGGCCTTTTAAAAAAAAACTCTATTTATTATGTATACACTGTTCTGCCTGCATGTACGCCTACATGCCAGAAGGTGACACCAGATCTTATTATAGATGGTTGTGAGCCACCATGTAGTTGCTGGTAATTGAACTCAGTACCTTTTGTAGAGCAGGCAGTGCTCTTAACCTCTGAGCCATCTTTCCAGCCCTCAGTGTCCTTTGTACACCAGAGACAGTCTTCATTTAGTAGGCATCTATAGAGCACCTACTAATGTCAAGGAATAAAACACAGCACCTGCCTTTCAGGGCTTGTAGCCTCTGTAGGAATAACAATTATACTATGCTATGATAGATGCAGGGATTTGTACATTTACCAGAGTTAAGCCATCTCACATCCCCAGCTCCATTAAAATGTTTAAAATATAGGATTTGGGGATCTGCGAGATGGTTCAGCAGGAACTGGTACTTGACATCAAGCCTGCCAACCTGAGTTTAATTCCCAGAATACCCACATGGTAGAAGGAGACAGCCAACTCCCAAAGGCTGTACGCATACACGCGTGTGTGTGTGCGCACACACACACAAGCGCATGCATGCACTAAAGTAAATACAAACTCTACATAGCTGTGCGGTGATGTGTAACTAAGTGGCTTAGATAGAGGGATTATTTTTATCTTATTAACAGTGTTGGGTGTCTAACCCAAGCATCTATCCCATGGGATAGACCCATCTTTTCATATAAATAAAAACTTAGAGCCCTTCTTGCTGTGCTTCTCTAGTTTTACAATCACCCTAGGCCATAGGACATTTTTTCAGAGATCTTTGAGCCTTGAACTAAAGAGCTAATTCTAGGTCTGATTTCCAATCACACAGAGATACATGAGAGAAATATATAATACATACACACACACACACACACACACACACACACACACACACTTATTATATATAGGGTTCATGTAGCAACTTCCAAAATTATCAAGGGTCCCACTCACACTTGCAGCCCATAGCATCTTGCACTCTAGCCAGTACCACCTGCCTAGGGAATGGTGCTGCCCACAGGGTGCTGGGTCTTACCATGGGCTTAAGTTAATTATAATCTCCTGTGGACACAGGGCAACCAATGTAGACAGTCCTTCACTGCCTCTTCCCAGGAAGCTAGGTTGTGTCAAGTTGACAATTACAAGTTGTCAAAGCTCAGGCCCCAGTCATACTTGCAACCCACAACCTTTTTACACTTACTTAGTCTGCATTTATGCAGTTTTGCATGATGAAGACTCATTCACTCACTGGGGCATGGAAGTAGACCTTAAAGATGGACCCCCTCTTACCCCAATCACCTAATTCTGTTTTTTCCCTTCCTACAACCAGCTTCTGAGAGCCAGAACGGGAATGGACTAAGCACCCAAGCGGGTCCTGTCGGTGGCCCCCATCCCTCGCATACTCCCTCACATCCCCCCAGCACCCGGATCACTCGAAGCCAGCCCAACCACACACCTTCTGGCCCTCCTGGCCCCTCCAACAACCCTGTCAGCAACGGCAAAGAAACCCGCAGAAGCAGCAAGAGATAGCAAGAAATGGGTCCTCCCTTTCCACCACAACCATGATCCAGTGTCTCTGCCTGAGAAAAAGACAGTCTTCCTCTGGGCTGCTGGCTTTGGGATTGGAGGGTGGAATAATGTGTTTTAGCCACTAAATTTCCCTGGAGGGGTAGTGAGCAGTGGCCTTATCCACTCATGCCCTCCTTGTCCTGCTGACACTGCCTGCTCTCGTTCCTCTGAAAAAGACAGTCTGTTTTTTGTGTGGGATATGAGGGTCTAACTGAAACCCCTCCTTCCTAATAAATATTCCCACTCTATTCTAGACTCCTTTGTTTTTCGTAGGAAAAGAGGTTAGCAGGTGTGTACTTATGGAGTGCAGTGCCCAGGCAAGGAGGCCTTGGGCAAAGCAAGCCTGCCCCTTTAAGGTAGTGTCCCTCCCCTACCCCCTCCCTGCATGTGACCCTTGTCCAGCCTGCCTGCTACAAGAAGGCTGGGTCCCCCTTCCTCTGGGTGTCCTTTGTGCCTCCTGTTCTGCTCTCAGGTAATGCCAACCCCAACCCACTAGAGTGATGACGCTCATAAGACTTTGATTCCCCTGATCTTAAGCTTGGTCAGATGTCAGAGGGGAGCCCTGTTCTGGCTTCTTTTCCTCAGCAGGACTTCCCCTTTTTGTTCATTGATTCCAGAGTGTCGATGACAGTTAATGCTTGTTCAAGTGGGGAACTGCAGCACTTCCGCTTCCCAGGGTGGGGTGCTAAGAACAGTTTCTTTCCTGAATGCATCTGGGCTGGCTGCTCATCTTCTTCTTCCCCTACCTCCCAGTTTAGGGACACCTTGGTTCAACTTTCCAGGGAATGTGGGGATGGGGTTGGAAACAGATGAAGCTCAGTGCCAGATGTAAGGTACGTGGGAAGGGGTACATTCAGGAGAAGGCTTGAATGGTACTGAATGGGTTATGGGTTATAAAATATTTAAGAGGAAAAACAGCACAGATTCCTCACCATGTGGTTTCCTCAGGGCAGAAGGTGGCCCCTCCCCAGTGAGGGCCCAGCAGAGACTGACTTTTGACCCCCCCCATCCCAGAGACCAGTGAACCATTAACTTCTATATGAACCTTCCCACACTTGCCCCGCCCCTAAGCAGGTGGGCTAAAGAGAACCTATCCATTTCAGCCTTTATGTGACGTGGCTTCCACTGCATCTGAAGACTGACCTCCCTGACTCAGGAGGCCTTCCAGGAACCTGAGGTGACAGCTCTCACATTGCCAGTAGGGGTGAGGACCTGGAAATTGAGGGGGAATATGGAAGTGGAGCAAGGTTGAGAGCTGGATCTAGGGGATCTGAGATGGTGTCCCCTCTGGACCAGATATAGGGGAGAACTCTGAGTCAGGAGGCTGCTCCAGAAGGCAGAGGGGAGGGGCAGAGGAAGCCCGAGGCCGCTGATGGACTCAGATTAAGCAGTGGGAAATGTATATGAGCATTCTCCCCAGCTCTGAGCTGAAGAGCTGACCTGACCGCTGCCTCCTTGTTCTAGGGTATATTCCTCAGGATGTTCCAAAGGAAATAGAAGTCAGAACCAGAGCCTCTAGCCCATACCCCTAGTGATGGGCCCCTCAGTACATCATCTTTTGGCTGGCGTGTGCATGGCGGTGGTCTTGGGCTGGGTAGGAGGCTCAGTCCCCAACCTAGGCCCAGCTGAACAGGAACAGAACCACTACCTGGCCCAGCTGTTTGGCCAGTATGGAGAGAATGGGACATTGACTGCAGGGGGCCTGGCTCGGCTTCTCCACAGCCTAGGGCTGGGCCGAGTTCAGGGGCTCCGCCTGGGTCACCATGAGCCTCCAACTGGGCGGGCTGCACCCTCAAGTGGTGACAATTTCACACACAGGTATTACTTTCTCTCCCAACCCCAAAATGTGATATCTCCTGGCTCCACTCGGTTGGTTTTGCTTTATCCGGTTGCACAGTGCTGGCTGGCTTCCTGGAATGAATCCCCAGAATTATAAGTCCTCCAACACTAATTGCTCAGCACCCTTAAAGTCTTGCTTACCTCTGCTGCCTTTAATTCTCCTCCAGGTCCTTAAAGTCCTTGTTCTTAGTACTCAGCATCTCTAGGCTGACTTGGCTCCCAGTGTGGAGCTTTCCCCCCAGCCCCACAGCTACCCATTCTAGGCTCTCTTATAAATGACTGCTCTCAGATCCTGGGACGGACTGTGGTTGTTCCTCCTTCCCAAAAGCTCCCAGGAGACTCTCAGGGTAGGCGTCAGGGAGCTTGGGTGAGTCTGATTTGCTAATCCATCTAATCTAGGCTGCAGGAACCGGAGCTGAGTGTGGATGTCTGGGCAGGAATGCCTCTGGGTCCTTCAGGTTGGGATGACCGAGAGAAGTCAAATGCCCCTGACCTGCCCCATGGGCCAGGGCCCTCAGGCCTAGACCTCTTTCACAGGCTTCTGCTGCTGGACCATTCATTGGCTGACCATCTGAATGAGGATGTAAGTCTGATGGTCTCTTGAGAGGGAAGGAGCCATGACTAGGGGCTGAAGTATCTGAAGAGTCAGTAATTGAATAACTACTCAGTATTAGGATATGTTATTCTAATGGTATAAGGTGTTTCCTTTGACCTTACTTAGTACAGGCTGACCAAATTCAGGGGCTGCACTTAGCAAACATGCTTCCAGAGAATTATCTCAGGGGAGGCTGTAGGAATGTCCTAGAGATGATGCTGTATCTGTCTAGAAAAACAGTCAATTTGTTCCTTGTTCCACGTACGATGCCACCAGACCCCGAGATCAGTTGGCCCCATCGAGAGCAGCAGTCCAGCTTAGGCAGCGTCAACATATAACGTGACAGTGTTGACCAAAGATGGATGGCATGTCAGGGTTCTTTCTCATCTAGGATTTTATCATAAAGGACTCTAGCCTAGTTGCCCAAACAGCTCCATTGCTAAAACAAGGAAATTACTAGGGCATAAGAGGGAGATGACAGCAATGTTCACTAGGAAATTGAGAAATCGTGTTGAATACTTATATTGGATTTCTTACTTACCAGTGATTAACATACATTAATTAGTAAGTTCCCTTGTCCCCTGTCTCTGGGGCCAGTGCGAGCCAAGGGGATCCTAGAGAGAACTGAACTCTGGAAGAACAGGGGGAAGGTTTGGGCTGTAGTTCCCTGTGACTCCCTAACACTCAGTCCTCCCCTCATCTCCAGTGTCTGAATGGTTCCCAGCTGCTGGTCAATTTTGGCCTGAGCCCTGTTGCTCCTCTGACCCCTCATCAGTTTGCTCTCCTGTGCCCAGCCCTGCTTTACCAGATTGACAGCCGTGTCTGCATCAAAACCCCAGCTACAGCACCTCCCGGGGACATACTGCCTGGTCAGTGGACGAGTAGGGTGGGCAGCCTGGAAGAGGGCTCACTGGGGTCCAATCTCCCTTTCTGCCCACAGCATGCCTCTGGGCCAGCCCTGATCTAACATTAGTCCCTATTCTCCCCAGCCCTGCTTCATAGTGCCCTGGCCGTCCTGCTGCTCAGCTTCCCTGCCCCCCTTTCCCTGCTGCTGCTGCGGCTCCTGAGACCTCGTGTATTGCGGCCTGTGCTAAGCTTCCTGGGGGCCCTGGCCGTGGGCACTCTTTGTGGGGATGCGCTGCTACACCTGCTGCCACATGTATGTGAAACACCATCTCTATACCTGTCCCTTTCAGTCAGCTCACACATCCTAGCCTGGTTTTAGTCACAGGTGTCTCCTACTGGGGTTGTATGAGTAAAAGCTTGCTAACCCTCGATGGGAGACAGGGATGCTATTGGGTGTGGGGTTTCCAGGGCCTGCTTTGATCTACTTTCTGGCAGGCACAAGGAAGGCGGCACACAGGACCTAGTGAGCAACCAGAGGAGGATCTGGGTCCAGGGCTGTCAGTGCTTGGGGGCCTCTTCCTCCTCTTCATGCTGGAGAACATGCTGGGACTTGTGCGGAGGAGAGGACTCAGGCCAGTGAGTGGCATCTTTTCTTCTCTCCCTGTCAACCCCAGAGTCCTAGCCAGGCCAGAAGGTAAGGGGCAGCCTGTGCTTCTGGACCCTGGCAGCTTGGCCAACTGCACATGACCTGTCCACCCCTGAGTGGGTATGGACCTCTTTGCATGGACCTAGCACTTTTGGCCAAATGGCTTCTTCTCTACATTTCCTATCAACATTAAACAGAGAGAGATGCCAACCGAGAAAAGGGTGTTGGTCAAACAAACATTCTCCAGGCACTAGCAGTGGGACCAGGTGCTCGCTTTCCCAGCTGCTGGCCTGGCCTCCCCTTAGCCCTTGGCCCTGCTATCTCCTCTACCAGGAGGGATACTCTCCCGTTTCAGAGATGCTGCAGGAGCAAAAGGGATCTTGGAGAACCAAACCCTGACCCAGAGGATGGCAGTGGGATGGTCCTTCGACCCTTACAGGCAGCTTCAGGTGAGTGGAAGAGAAGATGAGCACAACAGCCTGCGATCCCCACTTGCAGTTCTCAGCTCTTGACCTGGTCCTTCTTGCTTCAGAGCCAGAGTTTCAGGGCCAGAGGGAGAACAGCCCACCCCCAGCAGCTCCAGCCCTTCCTGGGCACCAAGACCACAGTCATGAGCAGCAGGGTAGCAGTATGGCCTGGATGGTCCTCCTGGGAGATGGCCTGCACAACCTCACTGATGGGCTCGCATTAGGTCTGAGGGCCCAGAGGCAGGGGTGGGAAGCAGGGCTGAGCCAGCAGGGCAGGTGAGCTACTAGGAAGGCAAGAGAGATGAGAACCCTTTGACTCTGCTGCTGCCAGGTGCTGCCTTCTCTGACAGCTTCTCCAGTGGCCTCAGCACCACCCTAGCAGTCTTCTGCCATGAGCTGCCCCATGAACTGGGTATGAATGGTACAAGTGGGGCAGGTGGGATAGGTGACAGCAGAGACCCTCTGAGGAACAGAACTCAGACGGGTGGCTCTGACTCACCTGCTCTGTTCTATGCTCTCTCCACAACAGGTGACTTTGCAATGCTGCTTCAGGCAGGACTGTCCTTCCGGAGGCTGCTGCTGCTGAGCCTCGTTTCTGGAGCCCTGGGGCTGGGGGGTGCAGCCCTGGGGGTAGGGCTCAGCTTGGGCCCGGTCCCCCTCACTCCCTGGGTGTTTGGGGTCACAGCTGGGGTCTTCCTCTATGTGGCCCTTGTGGATATGGTGAGCAATGTGGGATAGAACAGACAATTCAAGGACAATGGGCAGGCAGGTATGGAGAGGGAGGCGCCAGTCCATGCTGTCCATCTCCAGGTCTGAAGAGTCTTGGCTCATGACCCTATCAGAAGGCAGGCACTAAGGTGGTGGTGGGGGCAGGGGAGCTGCTGATACTGTCCTATACCCTCTCGTGTTGAGAGGGCAGAGCATGGGGCGGGCTTGGCAGTGTATACCGCTGGCCCCACCACTCAGGACAGTGAGTTCAAGGTCAGCCTGTAGGTCAACAGTGTTGAGGTTAACACTGTAGAGCTCTTGCCTCAAAAGAAGTAGATAAGAAGGTCCCAGGTAAGCACAGAATCCCAACCATCTTGTTTCTTTCCAGCTGCCTGCCCTGCTCCGTGATCCTGAGCCCCAGCCTGTGCTCCATGTGGTTCTGCAGGGGCTGGGGCTGCTGCTGGGAGGCAGCCTCATGTTTACTATAGCCTTGCTGGAGGAACAGCTCCTGCCCACAGCTCCTGATGGCTGATATGGGGCCAGTGGCAAAATATCCAGGTTGCCCTTCCTTCCCCCCACCGCAGGAATGGAGGCGGGACACAGGGCCAGTAGGAGCAATAGGATTTTAATAAACAGAACCCATCCCAAAGCCATGACTACGACAGTTGTACTTGCACCAAAACAGCATAGAAAACCAGGGTGTAGTGGGAGGGCTCAAAGCAGGTTTGGGGAGGACAAGCATGGGGGCCTGGTGGATGTGGGGTGCATCAGTCTTGAGGGATAGCATTGTGCTTTAGCCCAGGTAGGAGGGGGAGGGGCAGGGCAAATGCACCAAGGTCCCCATTTTTTTTTCTGCTGCCCTCAGCACCCTGGGGATGCAGGTATCTGGGCTTTATTGCTGCCCACCAGCATTAAACACCCCTGACTGACCCCAACACTAGCACCACAGGTGGATCCAGGATAGGGAGAAGGGCAAGAGTGGGGAAATTGCTTAGAGAAAGATTCAACTAGAATCCGGTGAATTGTGCTCAGTTCTCTTTACTTCCTACAACCGAGTACACAGGTCACAGGGTGGCGGGCGCAACAGGACATGAAGCATGCCCCACAGTGCTCCGCCACACCTGCACACAGGATGGTGGTGTCTGCAGCATCACAGGTCATGCAGGGCATGGGAAGGGGGGGGGTTCACACACACATAGATGCCCACAGCGGGTACCAGACAGAGAACACCCCTGAATATACACAGCTGTACATGGGGAACCCCAGGTCCCCACCCAACCCTCTCCCCTGTCTTGCTGTTCCCCAGCAGGGGAACTGTATTGCTTTGAGAGAGCCACCTGGGGCTGCTCTGCCAGGCACCCTCCCCTCCCACCCACCCTATTTTGGCACATCTGCAGGACACGCGGCAGCGTGAGTAGGCACCCTCCCTCCCAGGCTTCTGTGGTTTGGGAGTTGGGGAAGGGGGCAGGAGACACCATCTTCCATCTTTCCCCTAGCCCTTCCCAAACTCCTGATAGACCCACTCCAGCCAAACCCACCCCCACCCCCAACACACACACACACACACACACACACACACACACACACACACACACA